CATTGCAATTATTACAGAGAGGTTGAGGGGTATGCAACTATGCAAGTTGGCTAGGGATTTAGTGTGGTAATTGTACCAATTTTAGAGGATGTTTGGTTGATTTTCAACAAATCTCGTATGGATAAAGTTGTCTGTATGGATTGAGAAGATTTTTAATTGAGATAGTTTTTTAATAGATGAAGTGAGCGTGATTTTTAATTGCAGGAGGCAGGTTTGGATGGTTTTTTTGTATAAAGTTTTCCCTTAGAAGCTTATTGAATAAGTCATTTTCTATATCATTAAACCACTACCAAACTAGCTTGACTGAATAAGCTATTAGTCTCATTAAGCTACTAACAAACAAACCCATCATGTTGTTCTTGTGGCGGCATTATGGATTTGGGTTTATGTTGTTTGGTTGTGGTTGTAGCCTAAAGACACCTTGTGTTTGCTAAACGGACAGGACTGGACAAGACAAAATTGGAAGGATGATAGTTACGTAGGCAGGTGACATAATTCAGGAAGGTTTCAGGGTTTTAATTTGATATGTGTAATTTAGTGATTTATCAATCTTGTCTCGTCTCCTTGATTTTTGTTCCACCTATTTTTGGCAGAATATAGAAACTGCATTTTATCTCACTCAGGTCTTGTCTTGTCTCGATCTAATGTCGTGCCAAACTTGAGATAATATGTTTTTGTACTCGCTTGTCCCACTGAAGAACGAACTCACCTTTATTAGAATCGCACAACAAACACAAGGTCAACGTGTTATCTAAATGACCTCAATCACATGATCCATTAGAGATGGGCGAGTTTTCACGGAAATGGATGCTCTACTCTTTCGGGTAGAGATTAAGTCTACGTACATATTACCCTCACTGGACCCCACCTTCGGATTGGATATATTGGGTTCATTTAGTTTAGTTATCAAAGTTCTTTAAACATCATTCAGAACTGTTTTTTATGTGTTTGGTACATTGGACATGACAGAATAAAAGATGGATCAACATTTCGTATTTACTAGGACTTTTGTGTAGAACATACAAGAACAAAGTGAAATAGGTGTGTTCCACTCCCATCCCATGAAACAAGGTGGAATAGACGTATATTTTACCAATATAACCATAAAATAGAATCAATTATTTTCAAAAACATCAAAGACGTCTCGCTGTTTACATTTTATTTATTCTTTAAATTTTATTTTATGTTCTTCAAACTTTCGCTTTACAGTATTCAAAATATTACTTTAACATCGTTTCTATATTTGGTTAATGTATGTAACTTATTAAACATTAATAAATAAAAATAGGATAGAAAAAACGACTATTCCAAGAGTTATACCTTTCTTTAATTAAAAAATAGAGTTATTTTTTGCAAAGCAATAAAAAGGGCTATAGAATTAAGGGCAAAATGTATGAAATAACAACTTACTTTTACAAAATTTTTTATTATAACATTGTACCTTCAGTTTTTCTTACTACAACAACATACTTTTAAAATATTTTTTATTAGGATATCGTACTTTCAAAAACTTACCCGTTATAGCATTTGGTAACCTGTTACATTTTGAACAAGTTTTTCTTTGTTGACGTGTCAAAATTAAAAGGGCATGAAAGGCACATAAGATAACCTCTTACACATGGGAAATATGCGAAATAGCAACCTACCTTTACAAATTCTTTTATTATAGCATTGAATTTTCAGTTTTCCTTATTACAACAATATACTTTCAAAATGTTTTGTTTATTAGGTTATCATACTTTTAAGAATTTATCTGTTATAACATTGGGTATATGAGGCAGAACGAGTTCACAAAGAGGTATTAAAAAGGTAATGTGAAATCTTCGAGTTTCATACTAATTTTATATATCAATTGCATACTAATTTTCTCACTAATTTGAACATGACCCATCTCAAGTGGAATCATGACCAAAGCTCATCTCAAAAAAAGGACGCCAAGTGAAAGGATAACTTTGAATAACCTACGAAAAAATACTGTTGAGAAAGATGGAGAAAATAGTAGTTGTGACAAGGCGGTTCTACTTGATTAAATATCATTGTTAAACGAATGTGAATATGATGAGTTTTTTTTGAAAAGATGTTCCACTTTTTTAGTTTTTGGCATTACAAAGTAAACAATAAAATTTACGATGAACTCGACGAACAAATGGTTTTCTATGAATATTTGTATTCGTGAAATAATGATTTTTTGTAAACATGTTTAATTTTTGATATTATAATTTTTAATAAACATATTATGTTTAAATGATAAAACTATTAAAATTAAAAGTACAATGTTGTAATATAAATTGGTGATGTTATAATAAAATAATTTTGAAAGTACAATGTTATAATAAAAAAATGTCATGTCAACACCATCGTATATGTGGACAATGAGATGACAAATAAACCTGGTATAATGAGTAAATTTAATTTAAAATATTAACCAATGCTATAGCAAGTAAATTTTTTGAAAATGCGATCCCCAAATTAAAAATATTTTAAAATTTACATTCATGTAGTAAGAAAAACCGAAAGTACAATGCAATAATTAGGAAATTTGTAAAAGTAAGTTGCTATTTCGCTCCTTTTATCCATAGAATTAACTGCTTAGGCCCGTTTATCTTCAGCACAAGAGCACATATATAAAATAAAAATAGGAAACTAAATAAACTATTTATTTTGGTGTAATTATTAATCGTCTTGACGAAAAATTTTCTAACGATATATTTTGTCATAAATAATATTTATCTTATTATAATTTAATAAATTAATCAATATCTTCATCAAGAATGTAAATAGTAAAATAACACCTTTTGGTACAGTAACAACGAGCTCCCCGTCACTAAGCGCCGTCGTCGCAAGCTCCGGGAGTCTGAACCGCCATACCTTGAGCTCCAGCTCGTTAATCGGAATCGCAAAAACACGTATTCCTCTGACTACAATTTTAGTAACACCGGGGATAATCTCAATCGTGTGAGTAGCGATGTCTGTGCCAATATCATCGTCTGTATCGACGACGAATTTGAACGAATCGGAGGTTTCCTGGATGGAAACATCGACGTCGGAGTAAAACGGGAACTCGAGGGCTTTGGCGAATATGTGAAGGAGTCGTCGGAGCTTCTTCTGGCGACAGGCGGTGGCAGTGGCAGTGGCAGTGGCGGTGGGCTGCGAACTGGAATCGTAACGGATTGTGATGTTTCGCTTAGTTGGCGTGGGATGAACCTTCATGGTTGTTTGAAATTTAAGAAGATTGAAACCCTAACAATGTATGAATTTGAGGATTTGGATTTGGGAGGTTCCAAGTTTGATTCAGAGGCCAGAGATGATAATCGCTGATTGATTCAGAGCTTTTCTTGATCATATTTCACATTGAAGTGGTGAATTATGAGCGACTTCACAAGTGAATACTGAATATTAGAAAAAGACGGGAGAAATTATGATGAAATTATTTGAAGAGGGGTTTTATGGTAATATTTATTTTTATTTAATACTAGAAGGCTACTCGTGCAACGCAGTGAGATATGTCTTGATTTTAATATTTCATTATTTTATATCGATATTAGTATCAAATTAACTATTTAAAATTCATATATTTTGTGTAATTTTTTAATTTAATTTTTTTAATTATAATTTAATTTAAGTTCAATAATGAAATAATTTATATTTGGTTTAACAATATAATTTTTTTATAAAGATAATAATTAAATATTTTGTTAGAACTCGATAATTATCCTAATTATATTTTCGATTTTATATATTTTAAAATGAGTTGTTTATCCTTTATTTGATTATATTTATCCGCAGTTAGTTACATGAATTCAAACATAAAGTTTTAATAAGTTGTATTTATGCATAATTTACTTGTAATATTGAAATTTAAGTAATATGCATCAATATACACTACTTCATGCATATAAAATGTTTTTTAAGAGTTTTTGTCAAATGTTTTATAATATAGTGTAGATATTAAAATAATTTTTTTTTAAATTCGAAAAATTGCACCAAAATGAAACCAACTTAGGGTTGTTTGTTTGGTTTTTCATTAAATTTTGTATAAATAAAATTGTCTGTGTAGATTAATTTGTCTATATAGTTTGGAATATTTTTGTTTGATAGAATTTTTCCATAGATAGAATGAACATGTTTTTTGATTGGAGGGACAAGTTTGGAAAAAAAATGCTTGCTGCATAAAACTTCTTACTGAATAAGTCACTTTTTATACCATTTAGTCACTCTCAAACAGTTATGTATAGTTAACCGAATAAATTGTGAGCTCCATTGACCTCATTAAGCTGCTACAATTAGACGTGGTTCCTATTTCAAAAAACCAACTTTCAAAATCATTATTTTAAAATTTGATATATACTTTTCATTTGTTTCAAATTCTTACAGAATTGAAATTTTTTGTATGAATCGATTATACAACAATTTAGATATAATTTGGTTATTTTAACGGTTTTTGTCCAGTCATGTTCTAGTTGTACCAAACGTAGCACATACTGTTAATTTGATTTTTTTTTCCTATCCTATTCCGTATCAATTTATTCCTTCTCAGTTTGTACATCGAACGCTATCAAAAATAAAAATCTAATTTAAAGATGAAAATAACAATAACTTGAAAACCATAATGACTAAGGGGGTGTTTGGTTAGAGGTATTAAACAGTAAACAATGAAAATGTAAATAAAAGAAACTGTTTGATATTACATAATATAATGAGCTCATTCCCCATGATCCCAAATTTTCATTTCAAATTAAACTCGAGGAATGAAAATGAAAATCATTATTTAATAAAAAAACATATTATCCTCCCATTGTACCTTTTCCCGAAAATATTTAATAAGGAAAACAAGAATGGCAAAACCGAGAATGGGAAATGAAAGGCGGGGTATATTTGTCATTTAGGAAGAAGACACGTCATACAAGGACAGGGCGAGTGGGGTGGGGGTAACTTCTTAGGCGGATGTATCAAACCCCCCTTAAATACGACTGTGAGGCGTTTCAGATCCGTTTCTGTCTGATATTTTCTCTCTCATATTTTCTTAGCTCTTTTTTTATGGTTTTCAATGGCGTTTTAACACAAAATCATCCGATCTGCTGCTAACGTTACCTAGTAAAACTCACAAGATAGTCATCAGAGTGATAGATCTGGATCTAGTCGTGTTTCTTCAGGTAAATCGATATCTTTATTTCAAGTTTTTATAGATTTTTTTCATCGTTTTAACTCGAAGATCTGAATGTAAATCGGTTTATTTCTTCGATTCTGTATAGATCTGGTTGTTTGATCGACGACTTATACAAGTGTTCGCTGTATGGTTTGGCTTTACTSGAATTAACGACGTTCTGCTAAGATTCGGTTGGTTACGGAGAAGATCTAAAGGAAAAAAATTAACTGTTTTCTAGATCTGGTTGCGAATTTCGTTGGATCATCTAAGTGGAGCAAGAACGCTAATCGCCATACTACTGATTGTAATTTTAGAGAGTTGACTCGGTGACTTGACTCGGAAATGGAGACGCTTGTGRTTGTTGCGCAGCARGATCAATTCCATAGCAGAAGYCGTGGCCGAAATCATGGTTCGTTTGGTTCTTATCCTTCGAGGGATTTCAGAGAAATCAATTGCCGTACTTATCAATCGGGGTCAGGTATACTTCCAATCCCACTGAAGGCTCGTTCTCCACCTATTACCAAACAGTCCTCACCTAATTCYCCTAAGACACCATCTGCAGCTCCATCTGTTGTGAAAAAACATTTCCAGTCTGACCTAAACCCTAAACACACACAGAGAATTACAAAAAGTAGTTCTGTTCCTATTCCTATTGATACCAAGCATGTTGACTATTCTGTTAAGGTTAACATAAGGGGTCCTGAGAATGATAATTTCTTCTATTCCGAGCTTTGGGCTGGACCTGCTTATTCAAATTCACCACCTCCTAGCTCTTTGCCCATACCTAAGTTTTCAATCAAGCCTAAAAGGACTGTATCTCTTGACCTGCCTTCAGTTTCAGCTTCTGATATTGATTTGTTAACCCCGTTAGCGAAATCTGCTCCTCCTTCACCTACAAGGGAGCACCATAAGTCTTCTCGTAGAGACTTCTTTAGCAGCGATGATGAATTTGCGACCAAGACTCTTCGTCGCATTCTTAATCTTGACTTGGTCGATGAGTGACAAATTAGGAGTGATCATCACTCCTGTAAATAAAAATATCTACTTTGTTGCAGTATTTTAGTGGTAGATTGTATATAGAATGAATAAATCAGTGGTTACTTTGGGATTGCATACTAGTTTTCATGTAGTCATGCGTTGTGGTAATGGTGTAAGGATACTGATGGCTGCGTAGGTGGTTGGTGGTAGATCAATGTTCTAAAAGTTGATACAGATTCATAACTTGTTGAATTTTCTTGGGAGATTGGAGGACGGGATTCAGATTGATGGGACAGTTTGATGCTGGATCATATGTGATGGAAGCAGATGCTGGGTTTCTAGTGGGTTTGGCTGCTTAGGTGGTTGGTTGTAGACCTATGCTCTGGTTTAAAGTTTTTCAGAGATCAATGTTGGGATTACGGTTGACCAAACAGGTTGATGCTGTACCATATGTTGTGGACACAGATATTGGGTGGAAAAGGGGGTGAGATGGTGATGATTCGATATTTGGTAGGGGTGACAGAATTGTTTCCTCGATTATCTATTCAGTTTCAAGGAGAACCTCAGTGTTTGTGGCTGATGAGTCGTTGATATGCAGCTGCACAGCTGCAGTATGAATTCTCTTTTGTCGACTCTGAGGTGCCTGCTTTCAATATAGGTTTCTAGGTGAATATTCTTGTATATAGCATAAGAATACTTGATGGGTCGTTGGATCTTACTTCATCCCTGTCATAAAAAACTCATAGCCCTCAGCTTCAAAAAAGCACCAATCCTGGTCCAAATGGTCCTGTCCCCTTTTCTTCTTCTGTTTCAGCTGGTTTCATGCTCTTGCATTTCTGTAGTTGCCAAAGGCAGTGGCTAATGATCTCTTTCATTTCTGTTAGTTTCTTGTCATAGTTTGTCATCATCTCCTTTTCAGTTTTTCTATTTATTTCCTTCAAGATAGAATTAGAATTTCAAGTCTTCTCTTAGTGAGGTTGTAGCGCTCCTCTTCACCATCTTTTCTGGTTTTTAAGAGAGGAAAGTGGGAAGAGGAAGTAAAAATAGTTGGTTGCTTGTTCTACCATTTGGTTTGTATGGTTTGTCTTGGGTAGCAGCTTACGTTACTGTGTCGGGAAGAAGATCAATGCCACTGTTCTTTTGGTCTTCAAGAAGGGGCATCCATTGTCTCAAAAGTTTGTTGATCTTGCCAAGCCACTTGAAGGTGAGAATCTCGAAGGCCTTAAATTGTATCCAAGTTGTATATCTTTGATCCTAATCCTATATTGTCCATGGCAGGAAAGGTATCTTGAAGTAGGATAACCATCTTCAGGCGGCTGTTCTTCCAAAATACTTTGGTCGCTATGGCAGTAGATTTTTAATTCTTCACTTGTTTGCTTTCTTGGGTTTACTTTTGAATCTTCTGAGTTTGACTTCAGTACGAAGGTTAGTTGTTTTTGTTTTGTCAATGATTTCATATCTTAGGGTGCGTTTGGTACCCTGGACACTACAGGGATCACTGTTCAACGTTTGACAACACTTTTACATGGAACAAACAAACAGGGTGGAACGTGCATGCTCCATCCCCACCTCATGGAGCAAGGTGGAGCAGGCTTATATTTGACTACTATAACCTAAAAATAGAACATATTTCTCTTCCAAAACATCAAATTGGCATTACTCTTTACATTTTGATTCATTTTTTTTAAATTTAATTTATTGTATTTTATGCTCTTTAAACTCAATTTACTGTATTCAAAATATTATTTTTTACACAGTTTCTATATTTTGACTAATTTATTAAATATTATTAATAAAAAATGGAATCAGCATGAACTTTTTATTTTGGTGTAATTTTAATTGTATTTGTTGAAAACTTTCTAATAATGTAGTCATATAAAATGTTTATTTTATTATAATTTAATAAATTACATAATTAATCAAAATATATAAACAACTCATCAAGAGTTAATTGATCATTTTATATGTTTTGTCCTATCTAGTACTGTCTTACCAAATGTTGAACAGTTGTTCTGTTCTGTTCAATCCTATCTGGATACCAAACGCATGCTTATGGAATGCCTTTGATTTTTAGGTTACGGTTTTGATCCCACCCTAACATATTACCGTATGCAGAGTGGAGGTAGCCAAAAGGAGAAGCATCTTCCTTCAGGAGGCTGTTCTTCCAAATCAATCCGGTTACTATGGTGGTTGTTCTTTCTCTTGTTCTGTTTCTTATATTCTCACTTTCTGCACAAGACTTATATGTTTGTTTTTGTTTTGTCTAATGAAGTGACTTGGTTTAAAGTAGTCTTTTATTAATATGTAGACTGCATATGTTTTTCCAGTTCAGTATGGAATGAAATACCATGTATGGGAGTCGAGGCAAAATGGTGGTGTATTAACTTGCTTCTAGATTTGTTTAGCGACCTGAAAAAGGGGTGGTGGATTTAAACCAATCTTGGAGCTTTTTTCACTTGTGAAACACCATATCCATCATCTTGACGATGATGAAGAAACCTTAGTGTTGGTGGCCATTTACCGTACACTCATCCAGTAAGCTCTTACCAACAAGAGTTACCACCCTCGTTTAACTCATGGGTAATATTCTTGGCCATCAAACTGGATGGATGGTAAGCCTCTCTTATCTGATAAGCTCTAACCAAGTAATAGTCAATCACTGTAAGATTCTTGGTCTTTGCGATGCCCCTAGATTTTCAGTCCTTGTCATGATCACCCGACAAGGTAAGTGACATTGGTAAGCGTTTGGTAAACGACCTTTAGATGGAAAGCTGTCTTTTGGTTAAGTAACTAATCAATGATATGAAAGATGATGGTTGTTTGGGAGCAAAAACTTGAGGTTTAAAACTAGAAGTGAATCAAATGGTCTTGTTTTGTCCCTTATTTTGATGTAGTTGGCCTTTTCATGATATGTATATGTTTCCTTTGCGCGTCGATGGTATTCTGATCAAAGTAATGTTTATTTATAAAATGGGCAGCAAGCATTAGATGTTATGAGCAGCAAGTTATAACTTGTAACATTTGGTTTGACGTGTTGCTACTGCTGCTGCTTCCTTGTTTATGTTTAACTGTTATGTTCTGTGACGGGGTTTATTTCGGGTTACTTTAAATTATAATTATGAATACAAATTTATAACTTTATATATGGATCTATTTTATGTCGGTATTAGGTCAAATTGTGCATTAGGGATGTAAAAAGCATGCATTGGTGTTGATGTTTATGAGGAAATTAGTAGGCAGGAGTGAACTAAATGCACCCCTATGGCCTATATATTGCTCCACCATATCAACTAATTTCCTCCTCAGGCACATCAAAATCAAGATATATTTTTTACATTTTTAATGCATGATTTGACCCGATTCTGATATAGAAGGGATGCATATAACATTATCTTTAGCAATATATAAGGGTGCATTTAAGGTGCTCTTTTTATAGAGAAATTAATAAAAATAGCCATTTTAAGGGATCACATTCATCTTTTTTGCTTTCTCTCTGAAATTTTCAAAAATATCACTACTTCGTTAAGGGTGCGTTTGGTATGCAGACTACATGGGACGGGACGGGACAAAAAAAATAGTCCCATGTTTGGCATGTCATGGACAAAAATTACATGGGACAAGATGCGACTATTTTTAAATTTGACGGGACAAAAGTTAATAATTTTTGTTCCACCAAAAAAGATGGAACAACATAGGACTAAATGTAAATTTACTACATTACCCTTAAACCCAATAGAAAACCTAAACTCCCCTTTGCCCTCGTCTCTTTCATACCCACACCAGCCATAGACCTCTTCCACCACGAGAGGCTCTTCCACATCGTGAGGTCCGATCCACGCCGTCTCCTTCCACCGGCTTCTTCCATATCGGTATCGATTTCATTATTGCGATTTTGTTGTATCGATTTCTTTATTGCGATTTTGTTGTAACGATTTCTTTATTGCTGTTGTATCTCTTTCATTATTTCTCTTTTGCTGGCATCAAAACCCACAACTGTAGTAGGAAAAAAGAGAGAGGGAAGAGTTTTTCTTTGGATGTAATTAGGGTGTGGATGTAGTTTGGAGAAGAAAAGAAAAATAAGATAGAGAAGGTGGGGTTTTTTTTTTAATTTCTGTTGGTATCTCTTTATTTACATGTGGGTAATATTTAAACTTGATTATAAAAACTTGTCATTTTTTTTGGATTTATATTTAATGTATTAAAGTTGATTATAAAAACTAGGTTATTATCTTCCGTCATACGAATTGGATGTTTAACCAATTGTTATGACAGAGCTTGGTTATTATCTTTTCATTTCTTTTTTCAATAATAAGGATGAAAAACTTTTATCATTTGACGGAGAGCATGATACAAAACGTTATATAATTTGAAGAAAATAGAGTATATGTCCTTTCAGGTCTATTAAAAAATTATTTGGTCATTTTTTTGTTGGATATTTGGCTGCCAAATGTTATCCTCGTCGTTTGTTTCACATCTGCATGGCAAATCTTTATGGATTTAGTTCTTCAAAGATTGCTTTGTTAAACTAGGAGGGTCGTTTGTTTACGTCTGTCTCATTGAAATTTAGTGTGAGGAGTAAAATAATATATATTATTGTTATGTGCATCATTCTTCTTACATTAACAAATATATAATATTTTTATCTACTTTTTAATTAAAACAAAGTAAACAGATGATATGATGTATTTTGTAGACTCCTTACATGTGGTGAACTATTGAAATGGAGTTTTTTTTTTCAATATTCGGCTACGTATAATAGTTAAACGAGTGTATATATTGATCTCAAAGATGAATCTCTGTAACTTCGAACAGCAAAAAAATTTGTTACTGAAACTGATCTAATTAATTATTGCTGGAAATGCATTAATGAAAGTAGAACCTGAATCGTTAAGAGGTAGTCTTTGAATTTTATTAGTTTCATTAGGAGACAACGTTTTAATCGTTAAGAGGTGAATCTTGTTTGGTGAAAAAAAGTCAATCTTTTAATGGTTCTAAAACCTTCTGAATAATTTTATATCATGAACCTCCTTTTTTGATTATTTTCCAATGATCCGTTAAAATGTGGTGATTTTTGATGGATCTTCCAATTGAACAACAACAATGGGTGTGATTTTATGTAATGCTTTTAGAACGTAATTGTTTCAGTGTGAAAAGGTCGGAGATGTTGTAATCCATGTTTCTCTCGTCATTTTATTGAACCCACAACTTGTTATTGGAAAAAAGGATCAAACAAGAAACTCTTACAACAAACATCTAATCCAACTCCAGTCCATTGTTGGAGAAAGAAGAAGAAGAAAGAAGAAGAAAGGATAAAATGGTCATTTCACCACAACTTCACTTCACACTTGATCGTTCAATCCATCCAATATCATTTCTTGGCATCTGCATTCTTCACTGCAAAAACCTCTCTCCCCCCTGTGATCCTTTTATGTGTTATTCAACCATAAGCCTAAGCCTAATTTCCAATCCTTTTTTGTCAATTTTATAACAAATTTCTGCAAATTTTGAAATACAAAAAACCTCTAAATTTAATACAAGATTGCTACAAGTAAAAGGTGTGGTTTTTTACACATTGTAGACAGTGATTATAATAACTTTAACCCCCTTTGAGTTGGTTCTTAGCTTCAAATTGGTGTGAAATGACCATTTGCTAGTTATTATTTTATATATTTTCTTGAATTTATATTTTATACGATAATTAATATGTATATATTTATTTATTTAACTTTATATTATACATGAGACCCACAAAATGAGTTCTTGTAAAAACTATCATCATACAGTTTTATGTAATTTTTTAAATTTAGTTAGTTGAAAATGACTTGGCAATAAAAACTACAGAAAAAAAAACTCAATTTTATGGGTCCCACATATAATATATATTAATTATTATATTTAATATAAAAGTAAAGAATATTGTAAGAACTCTTTGTTTTTCATGAGAAAAGTACGTACTTTATTTTAATAAACATGCTTTTTCAGAATTTCTATTTTGTTATATACGACGTATAGTTTTTAAACATTTAAGTATTTTGGGAACAGATTGAAGACTAATTTCAGATTAAAAAGAAGACTAATCATGTCAACAAATAATACTGAGTTGGATACCACTTTACCATGATAACCGGTTAATGTTTCAACCGGCTATCCGAGTTCTTAAATATTTAAAACTTTATATTTTAAGAACCAAAATAAAAGCCTTGAAAGTACATTATCCAAAATAAGAATCAAAGTTCGTTATTTTTACATGCAATTTGTCTAACTTTTTACGATGAAAATATACTTTATACCTATAAAAACCTTGTACTAGAAAAAGTAATTAATTTGCTAAATTGGTAAGAAAAAGGAAAATACTTGTAACAATTGAAATAAAAACCTCAAAAGTTTAGACGAACCTGTACATGAAAATGTCAGAGTCATCTTCAAGATTCTTCTTGCAGGTGTAACAGAAGCTCAGAAACCTCTTCAATGGCGGTTTGAGCTCAAGATCCGACTCAACAACATCACAGCACCTCTCCACAACACAATTATCGTAAATATGGGTCGTTTTGGGGTTAGACCCATGACATATAACCCGTGTATACTCCTCTGAAAGCTCCATCTCACTCAAAGACAAACCTCCCATGGAAGAACCCGACCCAGATGAAGTCGGATGACCCGGAATCCGAAAACCCCCCCGGGTCTTGATCCCAAAATCACAAGGATCATCCGATGACCCGTTTAATGGGATTTGGATCTTTAAGTTTGATCCAAACAGAACCTTCCTATTGATAGCATTAGGTTTACAAATGCCATGATTAGGGTTCTCTTGAACAAGAGCAAGAGCAATTCCATTCTCAGATTCAGATTCAAATTTCTCAGCAAATGGGTTTTTGATTTTTTGAGAAATCTTTGTGGGTTTTTCTGGGTTTTGTTTGAATCCAAATGGGTTGCTTCCAAAAGTGGAGAATAACTGTTTGGTGTCAAGAATTGAGGTTGGTGATGATGATTCTGCATCAGAAAGAGGTTTTGGCATGAAGAAGCCATTGAAGAACCTTGGAGAACCAAGAAAAGATGAAACTGGTTTGGTGGGATTTTGGGTGGTAGCCATTGATGGATCAAGAAATATTGGGGGGATTGGATTCATTGGATTTATGAAGAGATGAATTTGATGAAAAAGAGAAAGAAAAGTGGTGATGGGTTTATGCAATTGATTGATGATTAAAAGGTTCTCTCTTTTTTCAAGGTTTAAAAGTGGAAACAAAAAGAGAAGGAACAGAGCTAACTTTAGCTTTGCTACAAGTACTATAAACACATGAAATAAAAGCTGAAAATCTTAAAGAAATATTGTCTTTCATTCGTCTTTTTTATTAACCCAGGATATCCAACTCGTTATATGAGTCGACTAATTTCATGATGATCACTTACTTTACAAATAGTTCGGAGTCACCACATTTGAACATTTGTGGCCACAAGGGGATTTTATGATTGCGAATAATGCAAGGTTTGGACATTTATGTAAAAAGTAACTATTGATACATGGACATGTTAAATACTGATAATTTACTAACGCTATTACATCATGTATAGAAATATTAAAAAATAATTGATAATGTTGATATATACGAGGAGAAAATTAATAGACAATGATACATTTAACAACATATAGAAATACACATGGGCGGATGGCCATTAGGGCCTTTAGGGGGCTTGGCTCCTGAGCTTTTTTTTTAGATAGAGTGAAACATCTTCAGTCTATTAACGTTTTAAGTATAATTTTTTTTTGTGCCCCTCCACTATTGTTGATCCAGTTTATTTGTATTGCGCCTCTGGGAATACATTTAAGTTACTCTTTTATTACAATTGATAAAGGAATGATATATGCACCATTTTTATACCAGGTGTTCATACCATGGATAAACGTTCTTTAAATATACAATATTTCGATATGAAAAACAAATTTTAAAATTATATAACTATTGCATTTTTTTAATTAACAAAATGACAATTTTACCCTTAATTATAATTAGGGGTGTAACCAATTCGACCTTTCAACGACCTACTCGAGCTCGAGCTTGTTAATTCCCGAACTCGAGTTGATCTCGAATATAAAATAGAACACGCTTAACTTAACGAGCGAAGCTTTATAACACTAATGTTCGACTCGGTTAGTTCAAAAACTCTACTATGTTTTTTGACCTGAGTTGAGTTGAGTTGAGCTGAGCCATTCAAGCATACCCTTTTTTGGAGTCGGACATGCATACAATAAAAATTATCAAGGTCAAGCCGATAAACAAGTTAATCTATTTGCTAGTTCGAGCCCCATAAACGAGCATCGAGCTTGAGCTTGATAACTCAAAATATTTGAGCTCAAACCCTACATTGAAAAGGTTAATTGAGCTCGAGTCTAGTGCTAATTTTACGAGTCCGGTTCAATTAACCTTTTACTTGACTCATTTACCCTCTAACTTTAGCAAAATGAATTTATTTATTATATAATTTTGAATAAAATGAAAACTTTTGATTCCTATTTCGCGTAACCTACTTTCAAAACTTTCAATTTGGTACATAAAATATTAAATATTAAGCATTTCAGTATTAATCGGTTATCATGTTAATGTGACGAGTGATGTAGTATTCAACTCCATATTATTTGTTGACGTGGTTAGTGACATGAATTATTTTAATCTAATACTAATATTCAATTTATTACTCGTATACTTAAATATTTAAAACTTTACATGTTACGTATCAAAATAAAGGTTTTAAAAATACATCACTCAAAATAAAAACCAAATTAATTTTTCATATAATTTATCGGAAAAACTAAAACAATGTGTCACGTAAAAAGCAATAGACTAACGTAAATGAGAAAGGAGAAGAGGTGGGGGCCATGCTTGTTGAACGTAGGACTTTGTAGGGACCCACAGGAATCATTTAGATGGGACCCAGCCGTTTTTAAAGTTTCATGGCGTGACTCCTGTTCCCTTGATGTGACCTTTTTCTCATCCATAACTTTTCAACTTTACCAAAATTACTCATCATTTTTATTTTTTTTAAATTATTTTTCATAACTCTTTTCAAATAAACTTTCCGAATAATGTAACGTTGTCAACAATCTCTTTAAAGGATTATGGTTATAAAGTTCGATTCGTTAAGTTAAACGAGTATTATTACATGTTCGAGATCGACTTGAGCTCGAGAATTATTAAGTTCAAGCTCGAGATAAACGAGCTCGAACTCAAGTAACTCGTTAAAAGCACGACTCATTTACACTCTCTAGTGACGGGTCTAGGATTTTTGCAGATAATGTGCGTACCTTTAAAGTAAATTTCCGGCTGATTTGATCATTTGTAATTTGATCGGAGAAAAAGATAATTATGTTGATTTGCAAAGTAAAATACATTTTTTAAACAGAATCGACCTTTTGAGCTAAAATAAAACTCTTAGCTGAATTTCAAGAGCTTTCTGGTCGAAAAAACCAACCATTTCACCTAACTTTTCACATACAATGCAAAGCAATTAACCATTTCGCCTACATCCTTAATAAGTTGCTTTTGGTTCCAATTTCTCCTCTGAAATTCTCACTTCTCTAAACCAACTTTTTGTATGATCAAATTCTAAATTATATATATATATATATATATATATATGAGAGTTATTATACAACATTTTATATTTGTACAACCAATACAACTCAATCTCAAACGTCCATTTAATTTGATGAATATGTGATTTCATAAAAAATTTGATTGTTTCATAATATAAAGTATTGATCATAATTAATAAACCTTAGTCATCTTCCATAAATATTCAAATCATAATAAATAAATTCTCATCATTTCCAAAAATATCTCAATTGATTAAGTTGCATTGGTTGTACAAATGTGATGGGTTACATTTGAAACGATCTCTCTCTCTCTATATATATATATAGAGAGAGAGCCTTGAACCTCTCTGCTAGCCTCAACCACTGAGTCGACTCTGAAATGCCTCATTAGTCATTACATGTGGTTCCTTGGGGAGGCCCCCCGCGTGAGGAAAGTCGAGGTTGCCATCGTCAACTATTTAAGTTCACAATTGGTGACTATGCATAAAAACATGTACCCGTAAATGAACCGAATTTTGATCAGTGTAAGTCTACATTTCGTTAACTTTCTACCGTTATAGAAAGCCATAATCATGAAGTATTCCAACAGACGGCAGGTCACCAATTTCTAAAGCAAATGACCTAAAAACACACACAAAGCAAAATACGTAAACGAATTACCTGCTATCGTTTCGCCTTCCTGTCGTTCCGGCCACGTTTTCTGAACTCTCGTTTTTCGGAGGAGTATTGTTTCTTAATCAATAGATTACGCATCGATGTTTTCACGGCTTCAGCCGCTGCCGAGAAAACATCTTTGTCGATAGACAAACTTCCCTGCAACTGTTGTAACAGTGTTTCTCCACCGGGGACTTGTTGATCTTCCAATATGTTATGATTTTGATCACCAGATTCCGAATTGCAATTGGTTAAACCGGAAATGATGCGGACTCGAGCCAAGGATGAAGAATCGAAACCGGGCAAGTTGGAGACACCCATTACCATCCATAAGAAATTTGATGTTAATGAAGTCCCTATGCTTGTGGGTATGAAGTCTTCTCCATTAATAGACACCACCTGCATATGAGACAATTTTACGATTCAAGAAACAGCTCAGATTTAAGGGCTTTTTGGTTGGTTTTCCGTTAAGTCTTGTGGATAAAGTCGACTCTGTGGATTAATCGGTCTTATAGATTGGGAGGGTTTTTTCATTAGATGGAATGGGCTTGTTTTTATATTGGTAGGGGCATGTTCAGTAAAAACTTGGCTTTCTGCCTAAGCCACTTTCTATATCATTAAACCACTACCAAATAATCATGTATAGCTAACCGAATAAGGGTCTGTTTTTTAGCAGCTTAATGAGCTTAATGGGACTCGCAACTTATTTGGTCAATTATACATGATTGTCTGGTAGTGGCTTATTCAATAAGCTTGTAGAGGGAGCTTTATGCAGAAAGCCAAGTTTTTTTTCTTCCAAACTTGTCCCTCCTGATTAAAAAACAAGCTCATTCCGTCTACTGAAAAACCCTCCCAAACAAAAATCTTTCCAATCTATACCGACAGATCAATCCATACACATAGTTTTATCCATACAGGACTTAACGAAAAACCAACCAAACATCCCCTAAGTTATTGTCCCGTCCAACTCACACGGTTAACAAACAGGCCCTTAGCTAAGTTTAATGAACCATTTGTGTTAGCAGATACATCTATTGGTTTACCCATTGTGGATCCCATTTACTTTTGAGAAATAAGACAGGAATTCACAATCTTTTATTTCAACAAATTAAAATGTGATCGGGTCGGGTACCATTTACGTTTTCCCTTTTGGGGTAACCTTGAGTATCCAGGCCGGCTTATGTGCACTGACTAATCGCACGGATGACCACGAATGGCCTGGAGTCATGTTATATAAAAGGGAAATTGACTCAAATAGTCATTCCACCTATTCAAATTGGTCTCCTAGCCATTCCTCTCCCGCGTTTACCCAAATGTCAGTACGTCCGCAATATCCACATCCGCAATATTACACGAATGTCACTACGTCCGCAATATTGCAGACCTGGCTAAAAGACAAAAAGAATTCAAATTCTACCAGGTTAGCAAGTGGCACCGTCGCAATTAGACACCTGGCCGTCGTAATTGCAGACCCGGCATCGCAATTGCTTACCTGGGTTGAATCTGATAATTTTTTCTGTCTTTCAGCCAGCTCCGCAATATTGCGGACTTAATGTCATTTGGGTAAACCCGGGAGAGGAATGGCTAGGAGACCAATTTCAACGAGTGGAATGGCTATTTTTGTCAATTTCACTATATAAAACTGGTTGCATTATAAACTGGTCTATACGACATTTAAGGCCGAGGGTACATACCTTTAGAATAGATAGAGTTTTAGCCAAAAGGTTGCAAGTCAATAACAATATTCCTGGCAAGCTGCGTTTTAAAACTACAACATTAGAATCATATATCTATATATATATGTATGTATACATCATTCAACCCTATTAAATTTTTATACCGAATGTATAAACATCAAGAAGAGACTTTACCCTTGAACAGCTACACAGATTGATGAACCATCACAAGTCGCACAAAGATCTGTAATTGCAAAATAATTGCTTTCTGTTCCATTGGCCATAAGTCGTCCTACCTATAATCAGAACAGAAGTACGGAGAATAGAAGCCACCAGATAAAGACGGGAATCCATTCAGAATATCATTTGTAATTAAATTTATGTAATGCCGGGGCAGATCTACTATGGTGCATACGGTGGCACGGGTCACCGCCTCGTTCCTTTGTCATAGTGTAAAAAAGAAGGGTCGTGAAAGGTGCCAATGCCACCGTACTTTTTTGTCAGGTGCAACCGTATATTCCTTGAAATTACAAAAATAACAGACGTTTCTCTAGGTAGTGTTGGTTTGCACGGTCTTTTCTCCCCTTCCATGCGCAAGTTTGAATCTTAGCTTTATGCATTAAAATTTGGGATAAAAGACTCGAACACATGACCTTGCATACGAAAAGCAAGGAACTACCCAACGAACCAATGATGATTTTGTAAGAAATATCAATAGCTTCGTTTTCTTATAGTCGAATGGTGCTACCAATTGAAAAAAATTCTAGGTCCGCCTCTGGTGCAATGACACGTGAATCTTGTCTCATGCATGTAAGATAATATGTGAACGAGCTACCTCTGATCCAACATCACATGTATTAAGTAGCAATCCAGATGTAAAATCCCACAAGCGAACCTACAGCACAAGAAAATTAAATTTATTAAGCATTGGCCACGAAAAATTATACTAATTAGGCATATAAAAGTATAAGTTATATAATACATCTCACCGTCGAATCGCCACTTCCGGAGACTAAATACCCATGTGGGCAATCCACGTTGTAAACGAAGGCAAGGCAGGATACAAATCTGGCATAGATGCAAGAAAATGGGTGTAAAAGAAACACAGTAAAAGAATGACAATGAACTCGATTTACTTGTCACAGTAAAAGAAAAGGGAAAAGTCCATAAAAACACAACAAACTTTCCCATTTTAAATGGTTAAGCCTAGGGGTGTAAACGAGTTGAGTAGTAGGTTAATCGAGCCGGGCTCAAAAAATTAATACTAGGCTCGAGCTCGAGCGAGCTCGATTAAATACAAAGGCTCGACCTCGAGCTCGAATATTTTTTGAGTTATCGAGCTCGATGCTCGTTTATAGGTTCGAACTCGCAATTGATTAACTCGTTTATCAACTTGAGCTCGATAATGTTTATATTTTTATTGTATGATTAATAAATTTATGAGCATGTTTGGCTCAAAAAAGGGTATGCGCCAAGGGCTCAACTCGACTCGAAAACTAAAATCCAGTTCTCAAACGAGCCAAGTCAAACATTAGTGTTATAAAGCTCGGCTTGTTAAGTTAAATGAGTTCTATTTTTTGTTCCAGCTCGAGTAGCTCATTGCAAGCTCGAATTGTTCACACCCCTAATTAAGCCCCTGAACTTCTTTTTGAATGAATAAACATCAATTTTATAAAGGATGTAGGTAATCAGCTATTAAGGTTTACCGTTCTCAAACTGTATGCCATTCAAACCTCTAGCCAGTTACAAAAACTTTTTTGGGTTAAAAGGATGTAGGTAATCAATATTTATAAGTATCTATTCAAAAAAATGTTCAGAGACTTAATCATTCAAAATGAGAAAGTTCAATGGTTTTTAATTCAAAAAAATGTTCAGGGACTTGATCATTCAAAATAGGAAAGTCAAGTCCAAAAAGAAACACACATTTCTATACTACGTTTGAGGTAACGAGCAAATCAAACGGGCATGTACATGCTCCGGTAGCAATGTTCATAAGACTCAACTCAAATATACAGCTGTGTCAATGTTATTAGGTATGTTCAATGTATTGAGCTCTAGAAATGTGAAACTAGTCGGTTTGTGAATTTGAAGATTGATCGTCCTTTAAATTTCTCAGGGAACTAAAGAAAATAAAGGACTCCGTGCACTCACTCTGTATGGCCAAGGCAATAACTTTGTATCTCATGAGCTCCATCTAGAGGTTTCTTCGGGAACATGGTGACCTGTCATATAGAAAAGAAAAAGAAGAGTGTGTTTAAATATATTCTAATTACTGGCTATATAAATGCTAATAAAGGTGTGAGAAGTGTAATACACGAATCTTGAAATCCCGGTCGGCAGTAATAATGAATTGCCCATCTGGTGAAAACTCCTGGAAAATGATATTTCTGTTAGTATTTCCATATATTTCATGAACCTACGCCTATATTAAGGGGTCATTACCAAAAGCTTACCAAGTTACCAAGTCACTTACCGGTTCACTTACCTTACCGGGTGAGCATGGCAAAGACCAACAATCTTACCCGGTAAAAAGCATGGCAACAACCGAGGTTCTTACCCGGTAAGCATTTACCAGGTAAGAGACGCTTGCAAACAAGCTATTTTGATGGTCAAGAATGTTACCCGACAAATGAGGATGGTGACTCTTGCCGATAAGCGCCTACCTGGTCAGCATGTGGTAAACGGACCCTAAATCGAGATAAACCCACTTACCAGACTAGTGATGATGCTACAGTAGTGTGCAAGTAATGGTGATCCCTTCTTCTGGACTAATGCTTGATTTTCATTAAACTCATCCAGCTCAACGACCCAAACAACTCCAAATTTATCAGCATAACAAACAAATTGACCGTTGTCACTTATTGCAACCGCACTCACTTTCTTCTCTGTTGACCTTTTAAGATTCAAAAGTTAGTTAATATCAATGAAAAAAAAAAAACGAATATTAGCGATATGCTTAAAGCCAGTGTGAAACATCTATCATCGTCATTTATCAACTAGTCCCAATTACTTTTATTCGTGCATAAGACTCATCCGCAAATGTACAGAACATATGAAGAAGTATATGCACTATTGACCATCTCCAACCCACAGCTCTAAAAAACACTAAAATGTGGGCCCATCCCCAATAAAACACAAAACCCTTCCAACGACACACTAAAACACAAAACTCTAAAAGCAACTATGCACATTTTTAGAGGCCACAAATAGTAGACCTCTAAATATAGAGGTCTCCGTCAATTTACACAAAAAAAATAGTGTTTTAGTTTAGTGGTGGGTTGGAGTAAACATGACCTTTATTTTAGTGTTTTAGTGGTGGGTTAGAGATGCCCAGTTAACAATGGATACCACTAAAACTCCATGTGTCACGATGTTTTTCATCATCTCCCTTCAGTTAGGGCCCCTCCCTACTAATTTCCTTCTCACACACATCCAACATCAAGACCTGATTTTACATTTTCAATGTATGATTTAACATGTTTTCGACATAAATAGAGATGCATATAACAACACTTGGTGTGGGGTATCATAATAATAATTTTTACATCATTTTCCATTTTAATTGCTTGTTTCTTCAACCTTCCCCACCAATCATTTGGACCATAAGAACCTTCCTTTTCATACCAAAAAAATCTCAAGAGTTCTCACATGAAACGGCATATAAAAATAATAAATGACAAAGAAAAATGATGTATGAGAATGAATTCTATATCTTTATAAAAGAAAGAATGTATTCAATGAAAATTATATCATAATAGTGCACACTCTTTCCATCCCATCCATGTTAGGCCGGCATATGAAAAATGGACTATAAATCAACTTCAACAAAATCTTGAACATTAATAAAGTAGGTGCGGATTAAATATTGTGAGAAGGTAAGAAAGCTTTGTTATAGAAAGTTTCATATATGAATCATTGAAAAATCCAGAAACATCTATTTGAAGATGCATCCATGAACTGGCGTTACAGAATATTTATATGGGTCCACATATGCATCTTCAGATGGATCTTGTCAATGATTGACACATGAACCTTCCTTTCTTACATTCTCGTTGTATTTAGCCTTTCTTATTTGAAACTCCCAATAGTAAAGTAATATAATGCTACTTTAGTATGTTCCTAACAAACAGAACTTACACGGAATACATGCAGCGCCATGAATCTGTTGTCCAAATTTTAACTAGTTTGTCATCTCCAGCCGACACAAAAACATTACCCTTTGCGCCATAGCGAATTGCTCTGATAGAGTCCTTATGATGACAAACCTCACCCGACTCAGCCCCTAAAGTTACTGGACAGCCTTCTCTGTAAAGTAGCAACATTAATTGGTAATTATCCTCTCCATTCCAAGAACATCACATGCATTTTCACATCTGATTTTAGATGCAAAACTTGGTGAAGTTGAGTCGTGAGTGCATTTGATTTTGAAATGATTTAGTACTATTTACAACATGTAAGCAGTAAATCAGAGCTTCACTTTTATTTTGCAGATATCGAGCTATGTCAAAAACCTTTTACAATGTGAAATTTCTGGCACAAAATCAATACACATTTTGCTTCAAATTTTCACATATCAAATTTGAGGTGGTATTGCTCGTTATAAGTTTGATATCTGTTCAATATGTATTAAATTTGTGCCATAAATCTCACATTATCAATTTTTAAGTGGTATTGTTTGTTATAAGTTTCATATCAGTTCAATATGAAGTCGAACAGTTCAACATTCAAAAACAAGTGAAGCTCTGATTTACTGCTTACATGTTTCAAATAATACCAAATCATTTCGAAATCAAATATTCTCACTCACGACTTAAATTATGCCAATTGAAATGCTCAAAACTTAGCAAATGATATATATATATATATATATATATATATATATCAATTGATTTAAGAAACAGAAAGTTCACCGGAGATTGAATACACGAAGCTCACAGCCAACGGCGACAGCGACGGAGTGGTGAGCAGGGTGAACGGAGATGAGAGCCGGAGCAACTTCCAGTTCCACGACTTCTTTATTGTTGTCTTCTGTGGTAAGCAGAGAGTCATCACCCTCCATTTTCAGTATGTCAAGGAGCTTTCCCCCAAAATCCTAGGGTTTAATGGCGGTTTTTAAGATTTGATTATTACGCTCCATGAATATGATGTTCGAAACATTTAAATAGTCTTTCACCACTTAAGCCCGATCAACAAAAGCTAAATGGGCTTCAAGCCCAATTAAAATAGTTACCTCTCAAAACCAAACCTTCTAGTAATACAATGGTAAATTGCATAAAAAGTTAATACTTGATTTCTATTTTGGATAATGTATTTTTAAAATTTTTATTTTGGTACCTAAGATGTAAGGTTTTGAATATTTAAGTACCCAGGTAACATTATAGATGTCGAAGAAGGCCATCTAAAATAAGACAACCCCATAAATTGACACAAAGACATCAACTCCAATCTTTCTTGAGATAACCCAATATTATTTATTACCAAAGATTTGTTGGCGTAAAAACTAGTGCGCAACCGGTACAATTCAGTCTGCCATAAAACACTCAGGGGGTGTTTGATTAGAAGTATTAGACAGTAATAAATGAAAATGAAAATAAAAGAAACTATTTGGTTTTTTGTAATATAATGAGCTCATTCCTCTAGAAGTCCAAAATTTCATTAAAATTTCATTCCTGATTAAACTAGAAGGAATGAAAATTCATTCGTATATAAATATTATTTTATACTTTTAAAAAACACATCAAAAAGCATTTTTATACGAGAAGGCATAACATATGATTTTATCGACATAAATCCAGGTAGATTTCATCAACATCCAACGAAAACAGAAACATACGGTTTACAATGAAAAACTCGACAAAGACAACGAGAAACCGACACCTAAATCCTCAGCTCGGCACACCCGAGAATCGTTCCCCGACACCTCGTCATCGGAGCCGCTTGCCGCCACACCGGCCGCTCACTACCGAGTGTCAAAACATCAACGTCCGACATCTTCTTGATATCACAATTCCATCTTTCCGGCCCAATCACTCCTCCGATCACATAGATATCATCCCGGAAACCGATCATAGCGAACCCGATACGCTTCTTGAATTCAAAAGCCGAAATCACCACTTTCCGAGCTTCTTTCTCTTGCCTATATATAAGCCCGTGGCTCATTACGTACAATGAACCCTTAACCACCGCCATTGGACCCTGCACCCATGAATGCTCGTGAACCGCCCACCCCTGCTTCCCATTGTCCAAAACCTGAACCGTGGTCAGACCCTTGTGCACCACATGCATCTTACCACCAATCACCAGCCCCATACACGCCGAGTTGTGGGTGTGCTGGAGGTCAGGGATCGACACCCAAACATCCTTTTCGGGGTTGTAGATTTCCGCTCTCGAGATTGATTTCCGGCACGTCGTGAAACCACCCGCCACCACTATCTTCCCGTCTAACACACAGCACGCAAACATTGCACGTGGGACAATCATCGAAGCCCGTGGAGCCCACCGCCGGACGACGGGATCGTAGGCCCAGACCTCGTTTGTCGCAAAGCTCCCATCTTGATCGCCGGTCAAAGGGTCAACCGCATCACTGCCTCCTCCCAAAACAAACAACTTTCCGGCCGTTGAAACCACGCTAAAGTGGGCCAGGTTCCGAACCACAGAAGGAAGTACAGGGAGCGTAAGCCAAATATCTCGGTTCGGATCATAGAGTTGCCACATATTTTCAGGATCAAACGCACATACACATAAGAACTCTTCAGTCGATTTGACCTCTTCTCGGGCTTTGTATAGCTCCATGCTGCGAACCGCATCTCGCCATGATCGAGAAACGAGCTCGAGTCTCGGGTAAAGGTAGAACGGCACCCGAGCAAGACACCTGAGTGCAACTGCATCAGGGAGACCGTCGATCAGCGCAGCCATTCACACAATCGATACTTTCACAACCTGAAAAGACCGAACCAACAGATATCAAATTTCACCAAATTTTCATCTTCACCATTAGGCTACGTTTGGTGGTGGGAAGGGCAAGAGTTAGGTAGGCGGGTGAAAGAATTGTGCAAGATTTTAGGGTTTTAATTCATGGACATTTTAGTAATTTACCAATATTGTCCTATCTACCAGATATTTGTTCTACCTATTTCAGTGGAGCAACAAAAAGTCCTGTTTTGTCCTTTATTGTCTTGTCCTGTGTCGCAACAAAAAGTCCTGTTTTGTCCTTTATTCTAAGAGCTGTTTGGTTTGTTTCTATAAAGTTCTTAATGGATAAAGTTGTCTTTGTGGGTTAATCTGTTTGTATAGATTGGAAAGGTTTTGGTGAGGAGGTTTTTTCATAGATGGAAAGAGCGTATTTTTTAATTGGGAGAGGCGGATTAAGAAAAAAACTTGGATTTCTGCATAAAGCTCCCCCATAAGCTTACTGAATAAGTTATTTTCTATATCATTAAGCTACTACCAAACAGTCATGTATAGCTCACCTAATAAGTTGTGAGTCTCATTAAGCTCATCAAACTGCTAAAAAACAAGCCCTAAGACAGGACCGGACCGGACCGGACCGCCCTTGAGTGACAAAATAGGTGGAACAAAAATCTAGAAGATGGGACAAGATTGATAAATTAGTAAACTACCCATGTCAAATTAAAACCCTAAAATATTCCAAAATTACTTCACTCGTCTGATCCCGTCCAGTCCAGTCTTGCCCAGAGTATCAAACTCCCCCTTAAGAGATTGCATTTCAAGTGCTATTTTTTTACGGTTTTTCTCCATGGCCATAAGCATTAACTAGAAAACGGAAAAAGGGATCCAGCAGGGCACTAACCTTCGCGTTCAAGGTGCTGTGAGGTTCAGGTTCCAACTTGTCGGCCTCAAGTTTCCGTCTCCTAATCACGAATTCAAAAAGTGAAGTTCTTAGTTTTCATTAAAGGAGAACAAATAAACAAACGTAAAGTGAATCAACTCATAAACGACAATGATTTAGCCATTGAAAAATAATAACAGATAATTCAACTAGAGGTCCATGGCCATAAGCATTAACTAGAAAACGGAAAAAGGGATCCAGCAGGGGACTAACCTTCGCGTTCAAGGTGCTGTGAGGTTCGGGTTCCAACTTGTCGGCCTCAAGTTTCCGTCTCCTAATTCAAAAAGTGAAGTTCTTAGTTTTCGTTAAAGGAGAACAAATAAACAAACGTAAAGTGAATCAACTCATAAACGACAATGATTCAACTAGAGGTCTTGAATCTGAACCGCACATGTAGGGCCTGCCATGGGGGCGTTAATGGAAAGCAAACCAAACGAACCCAATAAATCCAACTTGAAAGTAGGGTCTAGGGGCTAAGATGTATGCAGACTTGACCTTTACCCTAAAGGTAAAGCGTTTTAAAGGTAAAGCGTTTGTTTCTGTAAAAACCTGCGGCTTGTGCAAGAGTTTATCATACTTCACAAAACATAAAGTTCATGAATAATCTAAACCAAACTAGATGAACACAACATATCTCACTCAAAAGTAGGGTCTAGGGGACGTATACGGACTTGTCATCTACCCCAAAAGGTATAGCGGGTTTAAATCTCGTACTCCCTGGCTCTCAAAAATGTCTCTATCACACCCATGATCAATATTAAGTTCAATGGGATTTCTAAAGAACCTGAATTCAAATTTTTCACAAAGCTAATGGTGCCCACAAGTATTTTCACCATCAGGTAGCATTCTTTTCACATAAAGTCCTACAAAAATTTATCTTTTCCTACTTTCGTATGACATTATTTTCCTCTGTGATATCACCATCAAGCTTACAAGTTATAAGTCCACACATACGCAATTCAACGGTAACGGATGCAAATTATCTCAATCATGACAATAGATGGTTACCATCCACCAAGGATAAGTGTTACAAAGATTCTTTTTCTTGCCACAAACATAGATATCTGAACCACAAGGGTTGTGGCATAGTGGTTGAGGCCCAGGGGGATGTGGTGGAATATCCCATCTGCCATGAATTCAATTCCAGGCATCTATAACAATTGTGGCCACTGAATTTATCAGGGTTGATATCTTACAGTCGCAATTTGCCAGGATTAGTCTCGGCATAGCCTGGGACACCCTTCCAAAAAAAAACATAGATATCCGCTAGCTAATCCATGTCGTTTTTGCTACAACAGTCTAGTTGAGGCTGGATATGGAGGCTTTAGTTCTTTCAGTCCCGAATAGGAATACTTGGAGGTGGTGGACTAGCATAGCCTTTTGCAAGTAGGAATGTCGTTTTGGTGTTGGGGGGAGTTCAGATTGGTTAGTGGTTTCTTGTTTTAGAAATAAGGAGTTTCCTTGGCATGCCTAATGTGCTTTTTATCTTGTTAGGCTCTTTACATTCCTTGCTTCATACCTATTATATTACATATTTTAATGTCTACTTGCACAAATCTTTAGTTCATGCACATGCCAAGAGTCTTCACGGAAACAACCACTTGGTCCTGGTGGTTGAGTAAGGTCTGCGTGCATCCTACCCCTCCCCGACCCTATTTTCGAATGGGATATTGGGTTCGTTTGGTTTGGTTTTATCCTAGTTGAACCGAGTAAAAATTCATGTGGACGTTTGCATTGGGATTTGTAAGATCCCACATCGGCTAGGAAGGGGAACTAAGGTTGCCTTATAAGGGGACTCGATACCTCCTCTACTAGACACGTTTTAGAACCGTGAGTCCAAGTGTGTGAACCAAGCGGACGATATTTGGTACGGTTGGCCTGGCATATTACAGATGGTATCAGAGTCGGGAATGGGACCGGCGTGCCAACGAGTACGTAGGGATCCCAAGGGGGGTGGATCGTAAGATCCCGTTGGGGGGGGGACTAGGGTTGCTTTATAAGGGAACCAGATACCTTCTCTACCAGACACATTTTAAAACCATCAGTCCAGGTGCAGGACAAAGCAGACAATATCTAGATCGGTTGGCCTGGGATGTTACAGAATTGCACAAATAGCCTTCACTAGTTTGTTCTTATTTTTGTGGATTGTGGATCGCCACTCCATCGATCCTTCCACAACCAAACAATCGTATGAACCAATGGATACAAAAAATCAAACCTTCTAAAACAAGAATCGAAGAATCATTTCAATTCCAAACAAATTTTCAATCCAAATCTCACCTCTTTCCCAAACATAAACCAATCATTACAAAATATTGATGGCATTGATTTCAGTTTACAAAATTCCCCCAATTTTGTCATCATTAACGGGCATTCTAGATGTTTCACTCTTGCAAAATTGGGGGAAATCAGACCAGAAACATCAAGAACACCACCACCACCACGCTCTCCAACTAATTTATCTGTTTTTAGACCATGAAATCAACGCGATTAAACTGGTGTGGGAATTGGGAACCGAACTCAATAATCCTAACCACTTAATAACCCAATCCAATTCATCTGTTTATAACATAACTATCATGATTCCATCAAATCCAGATTCATCGTAAAAATCCAATCAACACAAAATTCTTGTGTGCAAGTGGAAACGATGCAATTGGATCATAAAACACCAAGGTTTCAAATCATCGTTCAAAACCCACAAACAAAAAATCAACGAAGATCAAAACGTAACAGCCAAATTGAACGAAAGGTTAATCAAAATTAAGAACCCATTTCAGCAATTGAAACACGAGGAATTACCCAACTGGTTTTTTTTTTCCAAAATCGAGTAAGAACTCGATAAATCCTGGTCAAATGACAAGTAAATGATAAATGAAAAAAAGAAAGGATAAAAGAAGAAGAAGTTTACCTTAAAACCCAGATTTGGGCCCCAAATTGTGTGAATAATTGATGAACAAAAGGGTGTTTGTGGATTGTAGAAGAGAAATGGAGAAGGGAAGTGTTTGGTTAGTGTTACAGAAGCGATGTTTAAGAATTGGATTCGTAAAAGAGAGATACAAAGGGAAGGAAGAGGAGAAAAGTGAGGGGGAGAGAGAGAGAGATCGTGTGTGAAAATGTGGAAAGAGAGCTTTCATGTTAAAACATATTACTTAAATTGGAAAATTTTAGAAATTTGGATTAAAATTTTATATTTGTTTGGGTTGGATTCCGATGGGAATGAGAGTTACAGTGAAAAGCAATGATGCATATGGGTTAAGTCGGTCGGGTCCAAAACATCTGAACAATCAAACCCACTAGTTGGGGTTTGAAATTTTTTAACCTAACCTAACTCAACTCAACCCATTCGTGCGAGTTGAGTTGGGTTGGTTGGGTTGAAACTTTGATATATCATTTTACAATCTAGCTAGGTGTTTATGTTTAAACGAATTAAAATCAGAATGCTAACATACAAAAAAGAAAGTTGACGGTTCGTACAAATAAAAAAGTGAACTTACATTTGAAACTGTTATATAACTTTTAACATAACTGATTATGTATTAGTCTAATGTACATATGTTAATCAAGACTTAATAATCATATTAAATTTATAGTATAGAAAGGCATCATGTTCATTAGGTTGGGAAATGACCCTAACTCAATTCCAACCAAATAGATGTGGTTTGGTCTGATCTTATATCAACTGTGTGTCGGGGTACATCAGGTTAAGTTTTTTTGGGTTTTTCGACTTGGGTTGGCCGGATTGGTCAGGTTCGTCGGTATATTTTTTTTTAAATTGAACTTGTTTTAGGGGTGAACGCGGGTTGGGTTGGGCGGTTTACAACAATTTTACAACCCAACATAATTATGACGGTTTGGAAAATCTCAACCCAACCCATTCAAAAGTATAACCCAACCCAACCCTTGCGGGTTGAGGCGGGTTAGGTTGGGTTGGCGGGTTAGTAGTTACATAATTTGACGAATGAAATAATTCATAAAACTTAAGTTTATAGACCATACTATAAAGCGTCTTATTTAAAAATGTTACAAAAGGTTTATAGGACGTTTTTGGACGTTTCAACAAGTGTTTTAGAATGATCTTTAAATAAAATGTCGTATTAGTTATTTTATATAAACATTTTGAGAAGTGTCCCGTAAACTCATCTATTTATAGGACACCTATGCTCATATGACACTTTTCAAGTCGTGTTGTATAAAATAACTATTATGACACTTTATTTTAAAAGCATCATAGAATTTGTTAAGACGCTCAAAATCATCCTATAAACAAATTGGAACTCTTTTAGATAAGACATTTTTCTAATGTAACTCATTAAAAGCGTCATAGATTGATGGATTCGTCCATCAAATATCTATCGGTATCATTCATATTTTCCAACATATCAAATTGTTGTTGCTGCAAAAAAAAATCAATAATTTTCCTTATTAATTAGATTATTTGTCATCATTATTTGATCATGAATCTGTTTTGGTAACCTATACGTTTAGTTAAAATGAAACAAAATATAATATCAATAAAAATTATATAAAATCTATACATTATTAATATATATATATATATATATATACATAATAAAACACACACACACACACACATATATATATATATATATATAATTTTATAAAAATTATATATTAATGGTGGGTTGACGGGTTGCTAGCTCAACCCAATTTCAACCCTCCTAATTGGCGGGTGGACGGTTTGGCGGGTAGACGGGTTGGGTTTAATTGGGTTGTTAGCGGGTTGGGTTGGGTTGGGTTGGGTTGGGTTGGGTGGGTTTCATGGGTAGACGGGTTGGGTTTAATTGGGTTTAAATTTTTTTTATAAATGTAATAATTATACATTTCTAAACTTGATGTTCTTTGTCGTGGATGTTTATGTCGGGACGGAAGGGGTAAATAAAAAATACATTTATTTTAAAATAACTTGTTTATGTTAAAGGTGATTGATCGTGTGAGAGGCGTAATAAGAGATTTGAACCCTTGATCACTTTTAATCTCGTGTCCCCTCATGAATTGCGGCTTTAGAAGGAAATTGACCCAGTGCATCTTGGTACACCTCATCAGCGTTGACATTCAATTAAGATTGATCTAATAATGGAGGTATCTTCTTACACTTCTCATCATAGTTTCCCTTCTCACCGGAACCCCCAAAAAATAGTAGGAAATGTAGTTAAAAGTCAGATGTTACAATTTATTAAAAAAAACATGGGTGGGGGTAGAGTTGCATACAAACGGGTCCAAATCAGTTTTGTTCCGATTAAAAGAAGTCATATCTGATCAAAACATGGTCAACACGGTCAAATGAAATCCCGAACTAGTCATCTCCATTGTTTTGACTTCTGAGACCGATCAGAAAAATGTTCGGGATACTTCATTTGATATGGCCTGTGTTTGGTCCATTGGGGGAGGGGGAAAGAAATCGGCCGATTTAATAAAATAAAGACAGTAATTGAACCTGTTTTTGTTATATTACCAGATTTATTCTTTGTCTGACCCATATTTCATCTGGTTTTAAATAAACCAGCATTAACCTATCTGTTTGGATATTTTTTAGTTTAAAAGTAGACTAAGGTATTGTTTGTTTTTTTTAGAAGTGCTGAAGTCTTATTTCGCTTCTGATTGATAAGAGGTTGTATTAAAGTCTTAAAGTAGAATCAATAACACTATTCGTTTTTGTATATTGAGAGATGTCTGAATCTTTGTAATTATCTATTTTACCTTTCAAAGTATTATAATGTTGAATTTATATACACTGAGCCTATTTTTTTTTTTTTTTTAAATTACCTTTTAATATCTCTAAAATCTGATTCGTTCAGATGTTTGGTATTAAGAGTATTTTATTTATTTTTAAAATAAGAGCTTAAAAGATCTAAATGTCCTCTGAAATTTAAAGTGGTAAACACATCCCTTAATATCTCTTAATCATAATCTGTCATCTATCAAATGGTTCATATTTTGGAGGATGAAAAAGATTTGTATCAAAAACTATTTATCTTTTATACTTTTGTAAAAAATATTTATTTTTACATTTTTGCACTAGTTTGACCGATTCAGATTTCAGACGTAAAACACAAACAATCTTGCTGATCAAGATTTCAAACTTTAGAATCACCCCTTATAAATCAGAAGTGAAATCAGACTTCAGGTTTCAACACCTCTTAAAAAACAAACGTCACCTTATACAATTTTATCTGTTTATTCATCATCGTTACAAACTTCAAATGTGGACTCATTCATGTTGATCCTCTCTCTCATTGATTTGTTGATAATCCCTTTTTCCTTTCGATGTATTTATGTATCTGTAATTT